CCTGTAATCCCAGCACTTTGGGAGGCTGAGGCAGGAGGATCGCTTGAGCTCAGGAATTTCAGACCAGCCTGGGCAACATGATGTAAACCTGTCTCTACAAAAAAATAGAAAAATTAGCTGGGTGTGGTGGTGCACACCTGTGGTCTCAGCTACTCAGGAGGCTGAATTGGGAGGATCACACGAGGCTGCGGTGAGCAATGATGTCACCACTTCACTCCAGTCTGGGTGACAGAGCAAGACCCTGTTCTAAAGATAAATGAATAAAATAAAATAATAAAAAATAAAGAACACGTAAAAGTAGATTCAAAATATTACACATACTTTTACATCTGTATCTCTTTATATATCTTTATGTATTGGAAACCATGAGTTCACACTGATAACCTCCAAGTCCAGGCCAACAGCATGAGTCCACTCTTGTTTTCTTCCTTTCCTTTCTCTGCCAGTAAGAAACCTTGCTCCACGGGGAGTGAAAAGAATGAAAAGGCAGCAGTAGGTCACCAGGGTCCTGGCTTCCCTGTGCCAGCCCTGCCGTGGTACCTCCAAGGGTGCAGACCTGCATGGGGCAAAGGTCATTTAAGGAGACTAACTTGGAACCAGAAGTTTCTTCAGATTGAAAGAAGTCTGGGAAGTGTCAGTGTTTAGGACAGATTTAGGATGCCCTATAAATATACAGCAGGGCAAAGTTGAGTCAAGGGCCCCTGGAGCCTTCTGGGTTATGTTGACCCTCCAGGATTCACCTGGATTAACTCTGGGTGTGGCTTCCAGCTGTTGATCTCACCCTAGACCCAGGAATCTGAGGTATGATTTGAGTTAGAAATGAGAAGCAGGTGAGAAATGAGGAAAATTAAATGAAAACAGTAAATTTATCACCACTTAAAAACATTAGTATTGATAAAATTGACGGCATACAAATTAAAAATGTCCATGTGGCAAAAACAGCTAAGACAAACCAAAATATAAGCAATTAACTGGGAAAATATTTGCAACACATATGTCAGTTAATTTTCTTCACATGCAAAGTACATTAAGAGTGAATAAGATAATCAGCCCCAAAGAAAAATGGGCAAAGGACCTTAAAAAAACCACAGAAAGAGAAACATGCCTGGCTTTCAAACACATGAAAAGTGTTCACCCTCATTTACAGCCAAAGAAATATTTTTATCATGTTTCTAATACATTACCAATACATGGTTTCCAATAGATAAATTCAAAGTATAAAAGGTATTTTTTATGTATTAGATGAGTAGAAATTCTGATAAACTACTATGTGAAAGAAGATGTGGAGAAATAGGTGTTCTGTGCATTATTGGTGGGAGTAAAAATTGGTACCCTTTCTTTGAAACAAACTATCAAAATAAAAAAGCACTTATCTTTTGATCCAGTAAGCCTGCTTCTACAAAATTATTCTACAGATACACTCACACATGTGCACAAAGATGTCTGCCCAAGAAATTTCCTGTAGCATTATTTGGGGAGCAGAGTCTAAATGCCTGTCGGTGGGGGAGGGGATATTAAACATGATTGTTGTACAAAATGATGCATTATATACATACATATATACATACATATGTATTATATACATGCATAGATACATCTGTGATATAGCTATGTATGTATATGATATGTAAAAAATTACAGAAAGGTTACAACTAATTCTAATAGTGCTCCCCTCTCAGACGGGAGGAAGGATATAGGACTGGCCACAAAAGCCATGGAATATTTCAACTTCATCTGTAGTGTTTTACTCATTTTATGTAAAAAAAGAAAGAAAGAAACAACTATACTAAATTTTTTTAAATCAACTCTGGTTGGTGGAGACATCATTTATGACACTCTTACTTTTCTGTATTTTTTCCAGAAAGCCTGATACAGGTGGTTGGGTATAAGATGATATCTTTTGTGTAAAAAAAGGCCCCCTGAGCTTGTTTATGTGTAAACGTCCCTAGAAAGGTAGTCAAGGTCACTGTGGCTGGCGTGGCAAAGGGAAACCAGGAAGTGGGTGGGGAGATTGGTTTTTCATTACACATTTTTACTGCTTATCTATTTTGCCATTTGAATATACTACCTACAAATAATGATTATAAAAACAAGCAAACAAAAGTCATGCCTCCTGAGCCTGAGAGGAAGGGAAGAGGAAAGAAAAGCCTTCTTTGGGTAAATACTGATGCTGAGGAGGGGAGGAGGAAAGACAGAGACAGAGACAGAGATGGAAACACAGAGAGAGAGAGAGAGAGAGAGAGAGAGAGAGAGAGAGAGAGACAGGGACAGAGAGAGAGAGGTAGAGACAGAGAGCCCTGAAAGGCTGGTCTGCTTTGGAAATCCTCATGGTTTGCCTAGAGGAGCAAGCAACGTGGGCCAAGCTAAGAGCCCTGAGAGCTATTAACACACCAATTAGGTAGTAGGCCAGACAGGAAAAAACACTGAGAAATGTCCAGTACGGGCTGGGCATGGTGGCTCATGCCTATAATCCCCGCACTTTGGGAGGTTGGAGAGGGGGAGGATCGCTCAAGGCCAGGAGTTCATGACCAGCCTGGGCAACATAGTGAGACTCCATGTCTCCCAAAAAGTAAAAAAAAAAAAAAATTAGCCAGGTGTAGTGGCGCAGCTACTCGAGAGGGTGAGGCAGGAAGAGTACTTGAGCCTGGGAGGTTGAGGCTGAAGTGAGCCATGATTGCACCACTGCACTCCAACCTGGGCAACAGAGGGAGACTCCATCTCAAAAAGAAAAATATATTCAGTGTGGCCAAGATATTTTAGGGTGATGAGAAGGAGCAGGGAGCCTCCTGGCCAAACTTAGTCTGCAATCCTGTCCTCAGTGTCTGAGACTACTAAGTCCTCAAGAAGCAGCAAAGATTAAGGGTCCAAACAATGAAAAACAAACCATAAAGAACTAACCAATGTGAATAAACTTTGAAGGTGTTGTGCTAAGTGAAATGAGCTAGTCACAAAAGGATGACTACTCCATGATTCCACTTATACGAGCTACTACAAATGGTTAAATTCAGAAACAGAGGGTAGAACGGTGGCCACCAGAGGCTGGCCAGGCAGGCTGGGGAGTTAGTGCTTAATGGGGACAGAGTTTCAGCTGGGAAAGAAATAAAATATCTGGAGATGAATGGTGGTGATGGTGGCACAAAAATGTGAGTGCACTCAATGTCACAGAACTGTTCACTTGAGCATTTAAAAATTGTTACTTTACAGACAGGCTCTTGCTCTGTTGCCCACGCTGGAGGGCAGTGGTGTGATCATAGTTCACTACATCCTTGAACTCCTAGGCTCAAGTGATCCTCCTGCCTTGACCTCCCAAGTAGCTGGGACTACAGGTATGTGCCACCATGCCCAGCTAATTAAAAAAACCTTTATTTGGCCGGGCGTGGTGCCTCATGCCTGTAATCCCAGCACTTTGGGAGGCCAAGGTGCACAGATCACCTGAGGCTGGGAGTTTGAGACCAGCCTGACCAACATGGAGAAACCCTGTCTCTACTAAAAATGCAAAATTAGCCAGGTGTCGTAGTGTGTGCCTATAATCCCAGCTATTTGGGAGGCTGAGGCAGGAGAATCGCTTGAACCTGGAAGAAGGAGGTTGTGAGCCGAGATCATGCCATTGCACTCTAGCCTGGGCAACAAGAGTGAAACTTTGACTCAAAAAAAACAAAAAATATGAAAAACAATTTTTTTTCTTTTTTTAGAGATGACGTTTAGAGATGTTGACCAGGCTGGTCTCAAACTCCTGGCCTCAAATGATCCTCCCACCTCAGCCTTCCAAAGCATTGAGATTACAGGCATTAGCCACTGTGCCGGGGTCTACTTAAAAATTGTTGAAATAATATATGTTACGTTATATATATTTTACCACAATTTTAAAAATAAAAGTTACCCACCCAGGTGACTGACAATCCTGACATGCCTAAAACCTTTCACTAGACATTTAACTAGTCTTACTACCACCTCCTGACCTTCAACTAAACACTCCTTTATCTTTTTCCTGTAAATTTTCTTCCAAGAGTGTGAAATACAACTTTGACACACACTTATATGTTTTAAAAACACCTAATAACAACAGAACTAAACTAAAAACAACAGACAGCTTGTATATCCTGGAGGCAGTAAATCTCAGCTTTCTTGCACACAAAGTGGAAATGTCCAGTAAACCCACTGCTTTTCCACGCTGGCCAAGGGAGTAAAGCCACACTGCAGACACCCACTCTCGACCCTTCAGCCCCCAAACAGACACAATGCTTTTTAACAAAACAAAAACCAATGAAAAACAACCCAATGACTTAAAAGCCACAAAGGAAACCTTTACCCAATACAAGCTACCCCTTGCTACAGTTCGGGCAGATGGCATTTCCCTGCTTTTTGAGCTTTTAACCAGTACCCTTGCTGAATTTCTTTCCAAAGCCAGCGTCATAATATGTGAGTGTGAGCATATCTCGAGTGCTGGGCTTCAGGGAGTGCCCTGGTCTTTGGTCTGTGAAAAGAACTAGGGCAGAGGGAATCTGGTATCTCGAGGAGATGACGCTGCTGCCCTACAGGAATCAGTGCTGCTTTTGTAACTGTAGCGATGGCCCAATCTCTGCTTGCCCCAACTCTGACCAGCCCTCTTTATTTTAGTCTTGCCTTTGAAATAAGTCTGGGTGACAGCCAAGATGTCCTGTGGCCAAGTCATGCTAAGACACTTCTACCAATGAAATGATTCTCCCAGCCTCAGCCAGCAGAGACTGTCCTCTGGACCCAGAGCCCCACGTGTGGTGCCATGAGATCAGCACCTGGGGCCCCACGGCCTGGAAGTGTAATTGGTTTCTGACTCAGATAGAGGGAGAAATGCAAACTCCTGACATTGATTGGAAAGCCTAGTTATAATATTCCTAACCTGGCTTGATCCTTGTCTAAAAAGACCTTTTATTTTGGTTGTAGCTTATTTGACTGGCAAACAGGAGCTCTGGTTTAGGGAGGAGGAATGGGGAGAAGTAGACTGTCATAGAGTACAATTTGAATGCTTTACACATGCTGTTTTTAATCACTCTCAAATAAATGCTAGTAAGTTGTCAGAAACATCATGAGCTGTTGCTGGGATACAGCCCTTTCACAGCCGGAAGAGCCCCTCGACACATCTTGTTTTTTCTGGTGAAAAAATAAGAGGACTCATTTTAGTTAGGCTCATTCACAAAAACCAGGCGGACTCATTCTGGAGTCACATGGCCTCCAAAAGCTCAGGCCAGAAGCGCGCTGTCCTCCTGCCACACTCTAATCTCTGGAAGAATTTGAAGAGGTGAGTGCTATTACTTTCTCAGGCTGAGAATTTGAGTGGGGAGCAGGGCAGGCTCCCAAGGGAAAGAGAATAAACCGGGAGGAAAGGGGAGCTCGGCCCTTTGGTTTTCCTTGGAAGCCTTGCTTGGAGGCCAAAGGTTCTCAGCCTGCGTCCTCCCTCCTCCTGCCTGGGCGCTCATTAGCGAGTGCCTGCCTCGCTTCCACTCTGGGCAACTCCACACTGCCCCTGGGGCGTCCTCCCCTCTGCTCACTTACAGCTCATTTGAAAAGGCTTTACTCACCAACTTTATTGCTTCAACTAAATTATACCTTTTTATCATAGAAAGTCTAGATGTGCTCCCAGATGGCGTCTGGCCTGGTGTTCTGAGTCAGAAGTCTACGGAGGCCGCTGCACCTTGACGCCCGGTGAAAGGTTGAGATGGTGCCCTCACTTGTGATTAGACCTTTGTAAATGCAGTGCTCATTTTACCCTGTGGTTCTGAACAAGCAGGAATGACTGAATCCAGAAGCTGAAGTGGTGTAGCTTTTCCCCGAGATTCAGATGCGTTTACTTTTTCACATTAAAAATAAATAAATAAAACTTTATCGATACAGCTTCACAGACATCATTGCTCCCGCCATTGCTTTTCCTAGCTTTTAATGCTGGACGTATACCGAGCAAGCTCCACATCGTCACAGGGTCCTTGTCCAGGTCCACAACAGGAGGATCAGAAGCACATCAGAAATTTCAGCCTAAGCCCCGCTGCTATGGCTCAGGTGCCCGGGGCCTGGCATTCGCTGACAGCTTCACTCACATTGACTTCACTGGGCTGGGCTGTTACTTGGCTTCCCAGGCCTCTAGTTTCTTATGATGATTAGAGGCTGTAGTGCCTATGTCCAGCATCGGTTCCTTTAGGCATTCTCTACAAGGTAATGTGATCCCGGTGAGGCTAGCAAAGCTAGCGCCATCTCCTGCCCAGCCTCAGATGACCAGGCGCGGAAATGTGGCCTAGGCTGGCCCATCAGAGGACTTTATCCTCCTTGGCTGTGGCGATTGGTACGGTGAAAGTATAGACCATCGTCAGCTCAGTTGGAGTCCTTCTTAGAGTTTTTTTTTTTACTTAAATAAAGTTACCTGGAAAGATGGTCTTTGCCCAGCAGGGCTGCTAAACTTGGAGAAAGTAAAACAGAGACGACTACGAGCCCTCTGGCCCTTACCAACAGAGCCTGCATGCAGTAGGAAACAAGCGAGGGCAAGCAAAGTTCAGACATAGTACGGTGGATTGGATTACTCTCAGCTCAGCATGCCTGAAAATTTGTTTGTTTAATTTCCACACCTTTTGCCATGTGACCTTGCAGTGCTTCCCGAAAAAGTAAATGGAATTCAAATTCCTGCTCATTGACTTTAGGCTTGGCGGCATGCCTTGCTTTGACCAGTAGGCTGTGGATGGACATGTCCAGCTGGGGCTTTAAAAGACCTTCCACCAACCGTTTTGAACCTTCTCCCCTCTGCCATGAAAAGAACATGTCCCAGCTAATCCTTCTGCCTTGGTCACAGGATGGCGACATGGAGCTCATTAGCAGACTGCAGGCCTCGCTTCTGTAGCCAACCTGAAGTCAGGAGTCCAGCTGAGCCCAGTCAAGCCCAGCCAGTGCAGATTATCATCTTAATCACAGCCAACCTGTGGACCTGTGAGCATGAAAGAAATGCTTGTTATTGTAAGCCATCGAGATTTTGAGGTTGCTTGTTACACAGCATTGAGAGGCTGAGGCTACTTGTCATCACATAGCATGATTATAGCATACCTGCTCATAGATGGCAAGTGAAAAAGTTCCGATTTCATCATTTAAACCCCTGAATCTTAGCCATGGCTGGTGGCTCACGCCTGTAAACCCTGCACTTTGGGAGGCTGAGGTGAGTGGATTACTTGAGGTCAGGATTTTGAGACCAACTTGGGCAACATGGTGAAACCCTGTCTCTACTGAAAACACAAAAACTAGCCGGGCACCTGTGATACCAGCTACTTGGGAGGCTGATGCACAAGAATCGCTTGAATCTGGGAGGTGGAGATTGCAGTGTGTCGAGATTATGCCACCGCACTCCAGCCTGGGCAACAGAGGAACCAAAAAAAACAAAAACAAAACAAAACTAACAAGCCTTCGATCTCATTGCATCAGAAGCCAAAGTCACCCAATTATTTCTATTGTTGGAACCAAACAAGTCTTGACCAAAGCAGGAACCTTTTCTAAGCTCCTAGGATGCAGCTGTCATACCCAAAGTAGCTATCATCCACTTCCTCCCCAAAGAATAGTAGCTCTGCATACACGCTGAGATCCTGCCATGGTTCATTGCAAAACAGTGTAATTGCTGATGGTCAGGCCATCAGCAATTACACTGTTGCCACACCCTGACTCTTTTTTTGTTTTTGAGACAGAGTGTTGCTCTGTGCGTTTTTCAGCTCACTGCAACCTCTGCTGTCTGGGTTCAAGCCATTCTCCTACCTCAGCCTCCTGAGTAGTTAGGACCACAGGTGTGTGCCACCACAGCCGGCTAATTTTCGTATTTTCAGTAGAGACAGGGGTTTCACCATGTTGGCCAGGCTGGTCTTAAACTCTTGACCTCAGGTGATTCGCCTGCCTTGGCCTCCCAAAATGCTGGGATTACAGGCGTGAGCCACCACACCCAGCCAGGCCAAAATCTGAGATTGCTCTGCAGACTCCTTAATTGGCCTTAAGTAAATATATATGTTAATATAGACATATACACTTACATAATACAGATTAAATATAAAAATATTGTAAATATATACACATACATATATTTTTATAATTTTAGGAAATTTATATTTTTAAAATGTAAGCACAAATAATAACATAGAAAGCATAAATAATATGACAAACACTCCTATTGTCACAATCCAGAATCTATAATTGTTATACTTTTGTCCAGTGTACATCTTTTTCCCTGTAAATAAATAAAACATTATAATATAGCTAAATAAACTCTTTAACCACCACTCTTAAGGTTATTTCCTCTCCCTTTCCATCCCCAGAGCAGATACGTTTTTCTTTTCAATTCAAATAAATGTCATTTTATTGTTCATGTTGTATTGCAACTTGCTTTTAGCCCATATGTTTTTGAGGTCTATACTCATAGGTCTACATAGAACTGGTTTATTCTTCTTAAGGGCACACAGTATTACAATGTATATGCATTCCATCCTTTGAATATCCTTTCCTATATGGATGCACATTTAGATTGTTTCCATTTTCCTTGCTATTACAAAGAATGTTTCATGAACATTGTTGTGTATGTTTTCTGTTGCATTGTGCAACAGCCGATCATGTTAATAGGCACCTCTTGCCTCCTCCTAAATGGTAAAAGAAATTCCGTTGCCCAGGTTGGAGTGCAATGGAACGATCTCGGCTCACAGCAACCTCCGCCTCCTGGGTTCAAGCAATTCTCCTGCCTCAAACGCCTGAGTATCTGGAATTACAGGCACGTGCCGCCATCCCCAGCTAATTTTTGTATTTTTAGTAGATACGGGGTTTCACCATGTTGATCAGCCTGGTGTCGAACTCTTGACCTTGTGATCCACCTACCTTGGCCTCCCAAAGTGCTGGGATTACAGGTGTGAGGCACCGCGCCCGGCCTACATGTTTATTTTTATGTCAGTCCCAAATTGTCTTCATTAGTGTAGCTTTAAAGTAAATTTTGAGGCCGGGTGCGGTGGCTCACGCCTGTAATCCCAACACTTTGGGAGGCTGAGGTGGGTGGATCACAAGGTCAGGAGTTTGGAGACCAGCCATGATCAACATAGTGAAACCCCATCTCTATTAAAAAATACATAAATAAATAAATAAAAGTAAATTTTGAAATTGGGAAGTGTGAGCCCTCTAACTCTGATCTTCTTTTTCAAGAGTGTTTAGGCTATTCTAGGTTCTTGCTTTTCCACGTGAGTTTTAGGATCACTTTGTCTATTTCTGCAAAAAATGTAGCTGGAATTCATGAATCTTTAATTCACACAAACTCCTCACTACAATGTCCTCTGTGAGGACTGGCACATTGTTATAGCTCCAACACCCAGCACAGGCCTGACCTAGAGTCAGCTCTTAATATTTAATGAATAAATGGGTTGGGGGGAAACGCACAGTTTAGAGAACAGCAGTAAAATGTACCCAATGGAACATTACCATACCACAGAAGCCACCTGCATGCCACTCCATGATGAACTCCTCCATCGTTTCTGTTTGTTTTTTGAGCTTGCTCTACTACCAATGCTGGCATGCAGTGGTGTGGTCTCGGCTCACTACAACCTCCGCTTCCCAGGTTCAAGCAATTCTCCCACCTCAGCCTCCTGAGTAGCTGGGACTACAGGCGCACACCAGCACACCTGGCTAATTTTTGTATTTTTAGTAGAATCAGGGTTTCGCCATGTTGTACAGGCTGGTCTCAAACTCCTGACCTTAGGTGATCCACCTGCCTTGGCCTCCCAAGTGCTGGGATTACAGGCATGAGCCACTGCACCTGGCCTCCCTCCATCATTTCTCTGCTTAAAAAAAAAATAACCAACTGTGTGGCTGGGCCCAGAGGCTCACGCCTGTAATCCCAACACTTTGGGAGGCCAAGGTGGGTGAATCACCTCAGGTCAGAAGTTGAGAGCAACCTGACCAAAATGGAGAAAACCCATCTCTACTAAAAATACAAAATTGGCCAGGTGTGGTGGTGCCTGCCTGTAACCTTAGCTACTCAGGAGGCTGAGGCAGGAAAATTGCTTGAACCTGTGAGGCGGAGGTTGTGATGAGCCAAGATCGTGCCATTGCACTCTAGCTGAGACAATGAGCAAAACTCCGTCTCAAAAAAAAAAAAAAAAGCCCCAAAATACAAAACAATCCAACTGTGCATGTATCCCTAAACGATATATTAGTTAGTTTTACCGATTTTAAAAAATTTTTGTGTAAATGAAACAATATTGTATGCATTCTTCTGTGACTTATTTCAAAAAACATTGTTTTGAGATGCATGCATGTGAATACATGGAAATTCCAGAACTTCCACTAAACTTTTGTTTAGTCATTAATTTTGACTGCTTAGTATTTTATTTATTTTATTTATTTATTTATTTATTTATTTTGGAGACGGAGTTTCGCTCTTGTTACCCACACTGGAGTGCAATGGCGCGATCTCGGCTCACCGCAACCTCCGCCTCCTGGGTTCAGGCAATTCTCCTGCCTCAGCCTCCCCAGCAGCTGGGATTACAGGCACGTGCCACCATGCCCAGCTAATTTTTTGTATTTTTAGTAGAGACGGGGTTTCACCATGTTGACCAGGATGGTCTTGATCTCTTGACCTCGTGATCCACCCGCCTCGGCCTCCCAAAGTGCTGGGATTACAGGCTTGAGCCACCGCGCCCGGCCCGGTATTTTATTATATAAATATATAGCACCAGCCGGGCAGGGTGGCTCACATCTGTAATCCCAGCACTTTGGGAGGCCAATGCAGGTGGATCACCTAAATTCAGGAGTTCAAGACCAGCCTGGCCAACATGGTAAAACCCCGTCACTACTAAAAACACAAAAGTCAGCCAAGTGTGGTGGCACGTGTCTGTAATCCCAGTTACTTGGGAGGCTGAGGCAGGAGAATCACTTGAACCCAGGAGGTGAAGGTTGCAATGAGCCAAGATCTCACCACTGCACTTCATCCTGGGCTACAAAGCGAGACCGTCTCAAAAATCAATGAATAGGTCAGGCTCAGTGGCTCACACCTGTAATTCCAGAACTTTGGAAGGCTGAGGCGGGCAGATCATGAGGTCAAGAATTCAAGACCAAACTAGCCAACATGGCAAAAACTCGTCTCTACTGAAAATACAAAAAATTAGCCAGGCATGGTGGTGGGCACCTGTAATTCCGGCTGCTTGGGAGGCTGAGGCAGGAGAATCACTTGAGCCCAGGAGGCAGAGGTTGCAGTAAGCTGAGATTGCACCATTGCACTCCAGCATGAGTGAGAGAGTGAGATTCTGTCTCAAAATAAATAAATAAATAAATAAAAATAAAAATACAAAAATTAGCCAGGTGTGTTGGTGTATGCCTGTAGTCCCAGCTACTTGGGAGGCTGAGGTGGAAGAATCGCTTGAATCTGGAGGTAGCGGAGGTTGTAGTGAGCCGAGATGGCGCCACTGCACTTCAGCCTGAGCAGAGCAAGACTACGTGTCTAAATAAATAGCATCTTATTTATTTGGGTTATTCCCAGGCTTTTGCTATAATAAATCACGATGTTGTTACATACTTCTTTATGTCTCTCATACAGGAGGATCTACGCCTAGTAGTGGAATTTAGGGGTCATAGTATATGTACATATTCAACCATACTTGGCAATTCAAACTGGGCTCGAAAGTGGGTATATACAAATTTACATTCCCACCCAAAGTAAGTAAGAATTCTTTCCATTGTTCTTTCCTTCTGGGTTCAGTTTTCTTCTTCCACAAGTATACATTTTGTTTTATTTTATTTTATTACTATTATCATTTTTGAGATGGAGTTTCATTGTTGTTGCCCAAGCTGGAGTGCAATGGCATGGATCTTGGCTCACCGCAACCTCCGCCTCCCAGGTTCGAGCAATTCTCCTGCCTCAGCCTCACAGGTAGCTGGGATTACAGGCATGCGCAACCATGCCCGGCTAATTTTGTATTT